AAAGATCGGCTAATTTCCTAGCTGACGGTTTAGCTAAACAAGGGGCAGAAAGGGATTCACTTTTTTGGGCTAAGTTGTAACTATAGTGTGTTTTCTTTCTTTCTTTCTTTTTTCTTTTCTTGAGGTTCTTTGTTGCTCTTGGAAGATAAGCGTGTTTGTCTTCCTATTGTAAATCTTCTTTTGATGAGTTAATGAACGTGTTATTGATAAAAAAAAAATAAAAAGATAAGTTGTACTTTGATAGAAGTTCATTTGGTAACCCAAGGCCTTCTGGCATATGTGGAGCAATAAGAGATGGAGAAGGAAGGGTTGGCGTGCTATATATCAGGGCCTTTAGGGCAGGAGAGGGAGATTCATTGAGGGCTGAAATTCGGGCCCTCCTTCATGGTTTGAGATTGACAAAACAACTGGGCTTCCAACAGGTTGAAGTGGAAGGGGACTTGAAATTAGTGACAGGGTGGTTAAGTTCAGCCAGTCTGGGAGTTTGGACTCACAGGCAGGCCATGAGGGAGATCAGAAGCCTTCAAGAGAGATCGGAGAAAGCTTTAGATGGGTTAAGATGTCAGCTAGTGGTTTAGATGATGCACTAGACAAACAAGGGATAAGCATCAGAGAACTCTTTTGTCTGAATTGTAATAGCAGTTATTTGGGGGATCAACCTTCCTTAATTTTGGGATCTGAACCTGTGTACACATTGTATTAATTTAAATTAGTAAAAGTTATTGTTTCCTATAAAAAAAAGGCATAATCCTCAAAGCGCGTGGCTTAAGCCTCATGTGTTATCAATTTTTAATAGAAAACATCAAACTAGAATGAAGTACATAACAATGCATAATCCTCAAGTATGGTTCATCTTTTCCCAATGCTTGTATATAGAAATTTTGTTGGAGCTGGTTGTGAGGTACATTTTTAAGTTTGAATTTAATCTCCCTTGTTGAGTGGTACATTTGTTGGGGCTGGTTGTGAGGTAGGTAATCACTGAGAGAAGGATAGTGGGCATGTTGACCTATAGAAATTTTGGGAAGGTTAAATTTGTTGGCTTAGTTCCCTAGTCAATTGAAAGTTCATTCAAATAAAAGTAGTTTAAGTGAAATTAAAAAAAAAAAAAAGAAAAAGAAGAAAAAACATTCTCCTCACACACTTGGTAGCTGAAGTTCTGGGGAGACTAATTTATAGAGCAGATTCCAGAGGCTTAATCAGAGGTTGGAGAGTTGGGAGGGAGCTTGTGCCACTCACACATTTGCAACTTGCAGATGACACCATACTCTTTTGTGAAGCAGGGAACCCTAATAGGATTAGAAATTTGAAGCTCACTATACGACTTCTTGAGCAAATGTCAAACCTTAAGGTGAATTTTGAGAAGAGTTGTATAGTTGGGGTAAATATGGGCGAGGGGGAGATCTTTGAGGCTGCAGATACCTTAGAATGTGCAATAGCAAATTGGCCCCTTAATTACCTCGGTTTGCCATTGGGTGATAACCCTTAGAAAAGTGAGTTTTGGGTTCCGGTTATGGAGAGGTTTGAAAAGAAATTAGCAACTTGGAAGAAAAATTATTTGTCTCTTGGAGGGAGAACCACTCTAATCAGGTCTACTTTAGCTAACCTTCCTGCTTACTTTTTGTCAATCTTCAAGATTCTGACAAAGGTGGCTAGTAGATTAGAAAGACTAATGAGAGACTTTCTCTAAGAGCCGGGGGAGGAGAAGGACCATAGGGTGGGGTGGGAGATGGTTTGTAGGAGTAAAAGGGAGGGAGGTTTGGGTATCGGGAACATAAGGAATAGGAACTTGGCTCTTCTAGGGAAATGGCTTTGGAGGTTCTCATTGGAGAAGGACAAACTTTGGGTGAAGATAGTGGGAAGTATTCATGGGGTTGCAGCAAATGGATGGGACTCTGGGATTCTGGCAAGGAGTACAAGAGCATCTCCTTGGAAAGCTATTCAAGCTATTCTACCTTTGTTTTCTCGATGGATCAAGTATGACTTGCACTCAGGCAATCTCATTACTTTTTGGGAACATGTTTGGATTGGGGACTCCACCCTAAAAGACCAATTCCCAAGCCTTTTTGCCCTTTCCACTTTTAAAAATGAACCGATGTCTTCATTCACTATTCCTTCTAACACTATTTCTGGGGTCAGCTGGAACTTGGGCCTACGAAGAGATATCAGGGACACATAGCTTGATGGTATCTCATCACTATTATCCATTCTTGAAGGGGTGTTCCTAGAGCCAACAAAGGCAGATAGTAGAATTTGGACTCTCACCCCCTCTGGTTCTTTYACTTGTGCCTCTTTCTTTAGTGCTCTCACACATTCTTCTTCTTCTGGCTTGTCTTTCCCTATTAAAGAGGTGTGGTGTCATCCTATACCTCCTAAGGTTGGGAGTTTCTGTTGGGAAGCCTTTCTGGAAAGAGTTAACACAGCAGATTTACTTCAAATAAAAAGACCCAATAGTTGTTTTTGTCCTCACCGGTGTGTCCTCTGTAAAGTTGATGGTGAGTCTGGATATCACTTACTAATCTCCTATCAGTTCACTAACATCATTTGGGAGTGGTGTACTTCTTTGTTTGGGTGCAGGTGGATCCCCCCCCCCTTCGAATGTGCAAGGCCCATTCACATTTATGCCGTTTCGGCCAACAAAAAGGGCCAAGTTTATGTGGAGGTGTATGAGAGCTGCAGTCTGTTGGACTATTTGGGAGGAGAGAAATTCACAAATATTTACAGATAAGGAGAGAAGTTTGGAAGCAATGCTGGAGGTCATCCACATTAGGGTTATACACTGGCTGAAAACCTTGGCTCTGTTCGCAGAATTCTCAGTTGATGAGCTGCAAAGAAAGTGGAAGGAGATAGCAGAACTTGTTCYAATGARGAAGGCCTCAAATKTTTGTTGGATCCCCCCACCCCATGACTTTGTTAAACTGAACTTTGATGGCAGCAGCTTGGGCAATCCAGGGCCATCCGGAATAGGAAGAGTAATAAGAGATGAACAAGGGAATCTGTTAGCTATGTATTTTGGACCACTTGGGGTGGGAGATTCTTTGAGAGCTAAGATTCTTGCAGCTCTTGAAGGGGTACAAAGAATCAAGGATATGAATATTAACAAGCTGATCATAGAAGGAGATTTTGAAGTGGTACACTGGCTGAAAGAGGATAGTCTTAGACTTTGGAATTACAATAATGAAAAGAGTAAATTCAAGTGGCTGACTAAGGACATGGAAATCCAATACAAATGGGTAAAAAGATGTGTGAACTCTTTGGCAGATGGTCTAGCTAGACAAGGGGTGAACAGACATTCTATTTTTTGGGCTGTCTTGTAATTTTTGTTCTTTTGATGTTTAATGGTTGTTCTTAGGAGCTAAGATTGTTTAGCCCCCTTGCCCTGTAATTTTCTCATATTTTTAATATTAGTTCAATCCACAGTTATTGATAAAAAAAAAAAAAGAAAAAACATTCTCCTCTCTTCAATTCTAGGGGATATCTTCAATTCCAAGTTGAGTGAGATTGAAGAGGTAGATCAAAAGAGCTACCTTTCCTGCTCGAAGTCCAGAATCGTTCCTTCTCTCTCTCTTTATTCGTCGTTCTTCTTTGACTTCTCTTCGAAGTTTTTGGAGAAAAACCCTCAAAATAGATGCAACCACAATACCTATTTACTTCGTTGGTCAAGAGGAGCAAATTTTTCTTTCATTTTGAGAAAACAATATTTTCTCCTGTTTTCGATACAAACCCAAGCCTATATACAATTTTGCGTAAAAAATCAATGCTTTTTGAAGTCTAACCAAACAGATGCAAATCTGAACCGGATTACAAATTTGAAACAGTTCAGCATTTGCACTCCAACCAAACGCAGCCTTTGGGTTTTCCCTATTTAATGAATTGATTTAAGATACCCTTAAAAGGAATGTGGGCATGAAAACAAATAGTATAATTTAATTATCAAAAGAAAAACAAATAGTATAATTTGTTACACTAGAATTTGAAGCCAAGAAATCAGAAATGACAAAGATAAACAATTTAATTAAACCAAAAAATAGAAATTCAACATAAAATATCATGAATCAATAGAAAAAAACTGACCAGTAAAAGCTTTGCATGTTCTTGCAGTAGTCAAATATTTAATTTAAGATGCCTCAATACATCAAACCCATACAATTTATGACTTGTGTATTGAACTCCCTGGCCACAACTTCTCAATCACATAAAGGCTCTTTAACAAGAAGGTTAATTTTCTCATTGAGAAATTCAAGTACATCTTCTCTCCCTTCCTTAATAAGTAATTGACGCAACCTCCCGAATGTTGAGCCTGATGGCCGCATCCCCTTCTCTATCATCTGTTCAAAGAATATACAAGCCTTGGACACTTCACCTTTCTCACACAACCCATTGATGAGAACAGAAAATGTATGCATGCTAGGAACAAAGTGCTTCATTTTCATGTACTTCCACACTTTCAGAGCCATCTCCAACTTACCACTCTCACAGAACATCTTTATCATCATTGTATACGTGTCAACATCAGGGTCACACACTTTGATCATCCTGAGGAAGATCTTAAATGCCTCATCATTCTCTCCACGGTCTATCAAGCTTGTCAAAATAATATTGTAGGTTCTTGCATTGGGCAATACCCCCTTATGGTCCATGTCATCAAGAACCCTAAAAACATTCCTAAACCTCTGTACTTTGCAAAAAGCACCAATTAGAGCATTATACACAACAACATCAGCCATAACCCCATTCCTCTCCATCTCCAAAAACATGTCAATTGCATCTCCAATTCGGTTCTCAATCCCGTAAGTATGAACCAATACACTGTAAATGAAAGAAGTCGGCCTACAACCCCTAGCATCCATGTCTCTGACAATTCCAATCGCTTCATCAACCCTCCCCGCCTTGCAAAGAACGTCCACCATTATCCCATAGGTCACAATATCAGGGTCACAACCTCTGTCAACCATTTCAGCAAAAATCTCCCTTGCCTTAGGTAGATTGGGGTCCTTTCCCCACCCCTCCAGAAGTATACTGTAAGTCTTTGAGTCCGGTACAAACCGGTCCTTCATACTATCAAAAATCTCCTGAGCCTTCCTCACGTTTTTGGATTTGCAAAACGCACTTAATAGACTATTGAATGCTGCCAAATTTGGGAGAACACCATACTTATCCATGACATTGAAAGTGTAAACCGCTTCATCCACCTTCTGCGCTCGAGCATACTTTCTGATAATCACACAGAACGTCTCAACATTTAGAATTCCTTTGCTTCTCATGTTATTAACAAGATCCCACATAATCTGATACTGTCTTACCTTGGCCAGAGAACCAATCATGATGTGGTAAGCTCTTACACTGTGCGTATAATTCCGTTGCTTACCTGCCCATTCAAAGAACCGATAAGCTTGCATACCAGCATTCTCGAATCTCTGAAGTATATCATCTATTAAATCTGGTGAAGCTCTAATCCCAGTTTCATCGAGTGCTGTTTCAAGCCCTACCTTAGGGCAAAACATCATAATCTTACAAATTCGTTTCTTGGGGTCGGAAATTTCTCTTGGGGTTTCATGGGAACAAAATTTTCTTGAGAAAAACAAAATTTTTACAGGAAATCTACTGCAAGTGACACAAAACTTGTTCATATCCTGTTATGAAAAGGGACACTTTTTTTTTCTAGGAGATTTTACAGATCCCAGAAGAAGCTCAATTTCTTCAGAACTGTGAACATCAAAACACGGCACTAAGAACATGACATATTGAGGACTGCCAAGATGGTTTCTTCTGTGACGCAAGAAGACCAGTATGAATGAGGGAAAATGCTTCATCCCATTCACCAAATAAACGTGTATCTACTACACTTGAGCTATCCATTGAATTCCTGTCAACGAGACATAACATTTAAGCACCAATATTTAGTATATACAAATATAACATGATAAATTGCACACCAAAATTCACTATATTCCCTACCTAGATTCATTACAAAATTATAATCCATATTCTTAAAAGTTCATCACCAAATTGAAAATCACGTTCATTATAATACTTTAACTAATCATAACAAAAAAAAAGATAGTTTGTTTAGCAAAAAACAAAAAACCAAATCCAAATATTATAACCCTGCAATCCATCCTAACATGTTCAAATTTTCAAAATGCCACATCACATACCCAAAAAACAAACAAACAAACTAATAACTCTATGTCTATAGGCTCTTCAACCACTCAATTTGGCATTTTGTAGTAAATGTCAAGAATGCATGCCTCCAATACTCATCCTTGAAGGCTTGAGCTGCCTTCAAGACTTGCCTAACATTGATGACTCTCATCATCAAGAATTCATTCACAACTTCCGTACATTAAGAGACTGGGTTTTCCTTACTCCGTTCTTCCATTTCTCTACCCTTTCTAATCTGCCTCTCCATTTGAAACTCAATCATGTCCATCCTACAGAATTCATTCACAACTTTCGTACATTCAGAGACTGGGTTCTCCTTACTCCGTTCTTCCATTTCTTTATCCTTTCTAATCTGCCTCTCCATTTGAAACTCAATCATGTCCATCCTACGTTTGGACATCTCAGACATATCTCCATACCAGGCATAAGATCACCTCCTTGCCTATCTCTCTTTCCTTTCTTAAGAGATGATGGTAGGGAACCCCTTCTTGTTAACTTGTCTATAGGTGGCCGAATCTTTATGTCAATGTCAACTCTTGGGGTGTCTGGAGTGGAGGCATAAGTGTCTGTATGTCATTGGGGGAGTTGTTACCAGTTAACTCTTGTGTCGGCGGGATTTGATCATTTTCTCCATCTGAAGGGGTCTCCACATTGCCCATAGATGTGAAACTGGTTGTACTAGTCCCAGAATAAATGATCTCCAATTCCTCGTAGTACGAGCAACCCTTTTTCGTTATTTGTTTAGCACACTTATACTTCTACATGAAGTATATTTGGTGTTAGCATACTAATAATTTAAAATCTATAAAAACAATAATCTATATATATAATCATAATATTCTTACCAAAATAAGGTAGTCCCATACACTCTCACTAGCACTTGGTTTCTTTGTGATTGGATCTATGGTGACACCTGTATGGTTGCAAACTTTTTGATAATCATTGAACTTTTTCTTTAGATGGTGAAATTTATTCTTGAATTGATCTCGACTATATGACTTGTGGTGCCTCTGGTTGAATTTCTCCACAATATTTTTCCAACCTTCCTTATTAAAAGTTGATGTTGGCCTATTGTGTTCTTTTACTTGTTCAACCATCAACTCTATGAATGTCCTTTCCTCGGCCTCACACCATGTTGCAGATTCATTTGCTATTTCCTCTTGCATTGTATTTGCTTGGGTGGCCATATATTTCTATAGAATTTGAGTGGGTGGAGTGAACATAGTCAAATACATCTTACAATCTTGACAAACAACATAGTATATACTCCTACCTAAGAGAAGGGTTATGTTAGATAACATGAACTCCAAGAAGAGTCTGAGCTATAGAACACATCAGCATGGAGTCATCCTCTAAAGATGAATATATTAAATGAATACTCAGTCATACATCAATAGTTACCAAGTAGTACTAATACTCCCC